TTGACAATCTGGAAATGGACGAGGAGTTGAAGAAAGTGAAACAGCTGAAAGCTAGAGAGCAGGTAACATTGTTTTAGCGTTCTTCTTATAATTGCTGATTTTCATTATTTTTTATATTTCCGCTACCGACCATACTTGCTGCTCCCTTTTCCTTCATCTTATTTAATTTCTTTTCGTTTTAGGATTTATTATAGTTGTAACAGCTTCCGCGCTATATACCATCTCTTTTTATCATTTTTTTCCATCTCCTTTTCCTATTGTGCCCAAAGCTGAGAGCTGATTTGCTAACTGTAGGGGTCTGAAAAAATTCCATTTCCATTTTTCGGTGCCAGTTTCCTTCTTCATCAGCTTCTCAAGAAGAAAGTGTTGTTGGTAGATTTATACGAGTCACTGAGGAATGAAGTTTAGCTCTGATCTTAGTGTAACCTGCCTGCTCAACATCTTGACGAAAGCGCTCGTTTTTGTTTATTAGCCCCTCGGAGAAGGCGCGATTTTGCGAGCGCAGTCGAAAAATCAAAAGAAGAACTTGCTACCGCAGCACCGCCAGCTAAATACTTTCTAGGCCACGTCGTTTATAGTCATAGCCACAGTTATACTTGAGCGCATCTATAAAATCAATGAAGATGGGTTTATAAAATAAATTGGCGGAAGTGGTGTAGTGACAAGTGGCCGCTCACCACGCGAGCGGTCCTGGGATCAAATCCTGGGTCGTGAGTCGCCCGGGCCAACCAAGCCTTCCATCCCTCCGGGGTCGGTTAATTGGTACCAGACTTGTCTGGGAGGATAAAAACACTGACTTGTACATCGGCTGGCCCCCGCAAGTCATTGTATAGGCCACATCGCATTCAAATGCCACCGCGTGAATGGAAGTAGAATGCGTGCCGCATTCCAAAAAGGACTAGGTCAAAGCTGAATGCTTTATCTTTATTGCTCTTATGAACTAAGTAGAAACAGTCTGAATAGAAAACTTATTTGCGAAATAAATGTACAGTAGGCTGCCCCATACGGTCTGCAAAACTGTCATCGAGGTGTTGGAATTTTTCATTTTTCTATGTTATTTGTGCGAGACTACTGCTGCCGTTTAGAATACCATCAAAACCACCCTCCCATGGCGTCTTCGAGTATTCGACAGGTTTCCGACCTAGGCCGCAAATGATTTCACTGAAAAAGGTATCAGAGAAGCTGCCATGGTTTTCCCTGCAATTTCTGAATCGGATTTGCAGGTGACGTCTGAGTTTCCACTGCCGAAAATTCGCGATTCCTTCACCAGGCAATTTGCCGACGACTCTGAACGGAACAGTCTGGAGAGTGGAAACGAGAGTGCGTTTGTTACAAGAATTAAAACTTTGGAATCGAATCGATTCCGAGTAATTCAACCGTGTAGGTAACGGATAACCGAGCTATCGAGCCATACAACCTTAATAAATATTATGGGCGCGGGTAGAACGGTTTGAGGTGGATTATAAAAAACTTTCTCACTAAGGCAACTTTGCTTTTGCGAAGGTGTTCCCGATTTCACGTCGATGGATGAAAAAAACACTAAGTATTCAGGACATCAGTCTGTAAGTAATCAAGGCTTTCATTCTAGTCAAACGAAGTTATTACGATAAAATTTCTAAAATTAGGATTTCTAAAATATGAAATTTTCCTAGAATTGTAGGCATCCTCACCTTGACAACATCGTACGGATTTGTCTATTTTTATAACTATCGCTGTGGGAGAAGAGCCTTTCCTGATTGGTTGTTCGCTCTATTCCCTAATTGATTATGCTCGCTATATGCAAGCACGGTCTAAGATGAACGGTCAAGTACAAGATATTTTTATAGAATACGAATAGGCTACGCCACGCACTCGTCTGTAGCTTCGCACTCAATCGCCGTGCTTGAGAGTCGCTCCTTTATTGATGGTGGACGGGGTCCTTTATTGCGAGAGGGCTCTCCTAGATTGGACGAGGAGTCGACGCACAGTCAAGTCTTTAGATGCAGCAGAGAAGGAAGGCAAAAAAAAACCATTGCTCACTCAGAGCGCGGGTTCTTTTAACTGGTCTAGCAGCATGCGACGGTTGTGGGGTCGGGTATGTATCGTATATGTTAAGCGCTCAAGATAAGCGAGATAACAAATATGTAAAGCAAGTAAACTTCTAAACCTTTTGGCGCTAGCTACAATCGCACAGTTTTAATTAATTAGGTTGTCCCAAAAGTACGTATCACATTCATGATTCCACTCCAGAACTTTGTTCAGCTATTCCTGAGTATGTTCACGTCGGCTTTCAGAGTGTTTTACGTGGGACAACTTATAACCAAATCACCCTATGCGCGCCCTAGAAACTTTCTTCGATTCAAAAAGGTGAAAATAAAAAACCAAATAATAAATGAGCATTAATCTGACTTTTGCGACACATCTTCTTGCCGTCCTACAGTGCGATACATGGTTAGACCTTCTTCGATGGAGTTACGGTATGGCAACCCTAGCTCACTAAAGCCTAATTTCTAGCAAAGTGTGAAAAAACGCCTACATTCATGTTGCTCAGCAGTAACTGTGCCAGACAGAAATATGATTGTAAGGCACTTCAACAATGGATATACATTGTCTTTTTTTTGCGGCCAGGAGGCCGCTTTCCTTGGGTAGCACGCAAGATGTTTACGCGCTTCTTCGGCACAAGTTTTCTGATAGTGTTGGTGACGCATTATATGTACTGATGGCAGTATGTATAATTGTAGTGAAATAGTAATATATTGATTCGAAAATTGCGAATTGTCGGGACTTCTGACACTAATAGCTATACTATGTGTCTAGCAGTATGCCGTTGAGAGTCAAAGTTGTTGTAAATCGCTCTCTGCTTTGGTAGCCGTATATTTAGTCGAACGTCCATAATGGGTTCTCTTCGAAGGGAGCAAATATTCGAGCTCAGCGAGAAGATATCGAAGTGAACGTCAACATCGGACACAAATCGAGCCGTACATTGTCATTCACTACTTCGAGTTTCGTTCATACCTTTTTTGCATTTTATGGATTCTAGATAAAAGTGCCCCAAAACCAACATTTTATAGTTTGTTGCTGATTTTGACATTCCAATAATTTATGCAATGAGCTTTCTGACGGAAAATTTCTACCAGACTGATCACCAAGGAAAAATGTTGAGCTACAAGTCTAAGATTGATAATGCAGTTTTCCCATTGTAAGTTCCATACTACAAGCATGAAATTCCATCACTATCCTGTATCCAAGTCTGTAAAGGAAACCTTTTTATTTATTTAATTTTTATTTATTTGTTTATTTATTTATTTGTGTATCTTTTTATTTGCGTATTAATCTATTTAGTTATTTATTTATTTATTAAGTATTTATTTATTTCGTTAGTATTGTAATTTATTTGTGTTATGGATTTTATTCATGTTTTATCCAGTTAAATTACTATTAATTAGGTGTCATTAATCTTATCATTATTTATTTATTCTATTTATTTATTTATTTATTTATTTATTTATTTATTTATTTATTTATTTATTTATTTATTTATTTATTTATTTATTTATTTATTTTATTTATTTATTTTATTATTTATTTATTTATTTATTTATTTATTTATTTATTTATTTATTTATTATTTATTTATTTATTTATTTATTTATCTATTTATTTATTTATCAATTTGGAGGAATTTGTGTTGTGCTACTACAATGATTTTTGACAGTAACTTGAATATAGGCGGGATTTCATCATACCATATCAATGAGCAACAAGCCGGTGTCCTTTCCTGCAGGACTCATATCTATATAGATCGACTGAATACTGTTGGTTGAGGTCAAAAATGAATCCCGAATCGCCACGTTGCGCTCACGGGAACTTCTTCCCTGGCAAAATGTTTTTGGCATTTTTATAAATTGTCAAAACTCATCTAACCTGACCAAAATGAATCTAATAATTCTCCTGTTTTCACGGTGATGATATTGCCGATGTGTAAATCAAATTGCAAAGCTGCATTTCAGCGAATCAAATCGCAATCGAGCTCTCTACTGCGATTCTAATCAGGTCATTCCACCACTTGGACGTGGAGTTCTCAAGAACAGCAAGGGTACACCCATGTGAGTAACCAGTACCGGCATTGCTCAAGTTTCGGCTGCTGTACTTAATGACCCTGTCTCTTTCTAGGGGTTCTCGGTCACGTGGGTTTCAGTCGATGAAGGGCAAGAGTCATATGGAAGGACTGAAAGAGAACGGTGATGTGCGTCCGACGGACTCGGCTCCAAAGAAGGATCCGAAACAGGGCGAGATCGACATCAAAGCGTTACAACAGAAACGAGCACATGCTGAGATCACACGGCAAGTACAATCCTAAAGATTTCTCCTATACACTTCAATCCGCTGATAGTCCTGCCATTGCGTTGAAATGGTCACTCCCTATCGTTTATCAATCTGATTTCAGCAATCGTATTGAGGAGGAGATGCGAGAAAATCATCCGCTCTTCGATCGGCCACTGTTTGCTGTTGGACGCGACTCACGCCTTCGAATTCTCTGTCAAAACATTGTTTATGCGCAGTATTCACCTGAAAGGATAGATCCAGTCACTGGCAAGCAGATCGTCCTGAAATACAAGCAGCTACAGTGAGTTGTACTCTTTCGTTTAGGCTGAGCGATCTACGACTCGTCCCTGCTTCAACCAGGGTAACGACCCCTCTGGCTCAGACGGGAGTTCGTACTTCTTGGAGGCAGTGGATTATAAATAGATTTTTTGAGAGTTGAGAACTTGCGCCAATTTAAGTAAAATGCCCGTACTTGATGCATTTTTGTAGTT